AGCTCGTTGGAGTATGTCTTTGTCAAGATTCGACTTCATTATCACTTATCGGCCAGGAAAACAACAAGGTTTGTCCGATGCCCTGTCTAGACGTTCTTATTTTGCACCAGAAGAAGGAGATGCAGCTTTTGAGCAACAAAGAACGGTCCTCTTGAAACCGGAGCAATTTCATCTCCGAGCAGTGAAATCAACATTGACTGTTGATTCAACTTTTCTCAAGCAAATCCAGTCCAGTATGTCCTCAGACCCTCTTGTTCATGATATCGAGAATAATTCTTCCAAGTCTCATGATTCTTCTAAGTTCGAGTTCAAGAATAATCTATTATATTTTGAAGGACGCCTATATGTTCCAGAAGGAAAAGCACGTTTGCGTGTTCTTCAAGCACGTCATGACTTTCCAGTAGCAAGGCACTTTGGATATAATAAGACTCTGGAACTCATATCAAGAGATTTTTAGTGGCCACAAATGTGGAAGTCAGTCAAAGACTTTGTACAATCATGTGATATTTGTTCAAGATCAAAAATTCCTCGACATCGACCTTACGGACTTCTTCAGCCATTACCTATACCAGAACAACCATGGTCTTCTGTTTCTATGGATTTCATCACAGATCTTCCAAACTCAAGATCTTATGATTCTATATTTGTGATAGTAGATCGTTTCACCAAGATGGCACATTTTATGCCATGTACAAAATCTATCACAGGTGAAGAAACAGCTAAGCTTTTCATTGATAATATCTATCGCTATCATGGATTACCTAAAGATATCATATCGGATAGGGGAACTCAATTTGTGTCGAGATTCTGGAGGACTCTTTTCAAGATTATAAAAGTGGACATAAAGCTATCTTCAGCTTTCCATCCTCAAACTGATGGACAAACAGAGCGCGTAAACCAAGTCTTGGAACAGTATTTAAGGTGTACCATCAACTACCAACAAGATGATTGGACAAACCTTCTGCCATTGGCAGAGTTTGCTTATAATAATACGGTACATTCCTCCACGCAACAAACACCTTTCTTTGCCAATTATGGCTATCATCCACGACTTGATACTTTTGATTTTTCAAAAGTTGATAATCCTGCAGCAGAAGATATGGCAAATCGGTTGTCAGAGTTACATGCAATAATGAAGGCGCAGTTGAAGAAAGCTCAAGAACGACAAAAGATAAATGCAGATGTATATCGTAAAGAGCAACCACAACTCAACGTGGGTGATAAGGTATGGCTACTTCGTCGCAATATCAAGACCACTCGACCTTGTGACAAATTGGACTATCGTAGGCTTGGCCCCTTTTCTGTTTCTGAACAGATCAACCCAGTTGCATATCGGTTACATCTACCGGAGTCAATGAAGATCCATCCTGTATTCCACGTGTCTCTTCTTGAACCATATAAGATAGTGGATATACAAGGAAGAAGACAAATGCCACCGCCTCCTATAGAAGTAGATAATAATGAAGAATTTGAGGTGGAAGAGATATTAGACTCAAGGCGGCGCCGAAATAAGCTGGAATATCTTGTTCATTGGTGCGGATATGATATTAGTGAGCGCACATGGGAGCCATCCAGGAATCTAGCAAATGCATCAGCTAAAGTCAAAGTTTTTCATCAACGACATCCATCAAAACCAAGATGAAAACCTCTCTTATAAAAGAGACAAGATTGAGGCAAGATAACATTCAATTTCCTATCCTTGTTTGTAACTTCTTTGCATTTTGTGACGCTAATTAGATGGAGAGCCAACAACCAGCGGATTCAACTCAAGAACCTTCGTTTGCTGACTTACCGGATGAGACATTGCGATTGTCACAACCTTCAAGACGACGCAACCGAAATGAAGACCCTCAAGAACAACATGTTCTTCCTCGAATAGATGGTGAGATACAACGCGTTTGGTATCACGACCTTGGAAGAGATTCTCGATGTTTGGTGATATTATTGGAGATAGGAACGACTCCTGATGGTGTTTCAAATGTATTATTTGAAGGAAGTTATGAAGGCCTCAACAGTGATCAAATAACAGGGTGGTCTTCTCGCCCTGGAATGGGACACTATCGATGGCTAAGAGGACCCATCAACTATCTTCGAAGAGAACAAAGATCAGAGTATGTAGCAAATACAATTCGCCGCATATTAGATTTTCTCAATATATAATCACCGCTCCTCGTGGAACTCGTCCCTAGAAGGGGGGGTAATGTCACGGACATACATATAATTACCTATATGAATAGATAAAAGTATGTAAAAGTAGGTTAATTGTGTAATATCTTCTAGAGAAGCTTCTTAGAAGCTTCATAGACGCTGCTTTGACTTTATAGGAGTCTATAGTTGACTTTTAGGTTAGAAACTTGGTCAACAAGTTAGCCATGTGCCACGCATGTTGGAAGCTTAAAGAACAAGCTAACTACGTGGTCTATCCATAGAAAACTTGCCTTGCAAGCAAAGGCATGTGGCCTAGAAAGTCAACATATATTGGAGGTCTTATAGAACATCGCCACGTGGCTTCTAGTTAGATAGTATATATAGAGGCAAGAGTGAAGCCCTCTTCACTCTTGTCAACTCCTTTCTTGCTTCTAGTCTAATTTCAAGGGTCTCTAGTTTTCTTGTATTTTGGCAATAGCCATTCCAGTTTCTTTCTTAATATACATATTTCTATTTTGTCCTATTTCTTTTTGAGAAAAGTCTCACTTACTCTTTAGCTTTCATCGAGTTCTTGTCCCTGACAATAGTTAAAGTTAAATTAGATAGACTAATCTACATAAATTATGATATTTAGGTAGATAAATTGAAACTATAAAATCTATGTTGAATTTTTAATATAAAATTTAAAAATTAAAATCTAAGAGAATCAAAAGTAATTAGATAATTATGTGATTTATAATTATTCAAAAAATATATATTTTAGATAAGGTTTTAAAATAAACAAAACAAATGCTATGTTGCAATCAATATAAGTTATATGTAATAATAAGTAGATTACATTTGTATATGTATGTATATATATATATATATATATATATTTCTTCTTTATTGATTTATAAAGAAATATTTTAATAATAAATATATTACATATATTTTTATAATTTTCTTAGATTATTGTAAGCCAAAAAAAATCCATTTTTATTTTTAAACATTCTAAATTTACTTAATAGTGAAGAATATAAATAACTCAAATAAAAATCTAATATTATTAAAATTTTAATAAAACTTTAATATTTCTACTATAGTTATATTAATACTTTGATTAGTTCTTTGGTATATATAAATATAAATATATATATAGTAATTATTTATTTGATGTATACATACTACATAGATTTTGCTATGTTAGTTTCACCGTGCTACTTTTTGGCTTTGATATAATTTGAATATTCCAAGTTCATTAGTGAAATTGTTTTTGATTGTGTTTTACTTAAAAGAAAGGTGATATATCTGATTTATAATTCTTGATTAATTTTTGTTGTATAAAGATAGTTAAGAAGTTTCAAGATATTTAAGACAATTGATGAGCATATCGTCTATAAATGTGTCTTTTATTGAAGACATTAATTGATGAGTTTATCAAATGTTGCAACACCTTATAAGTATAAACTTTTGTACTACTATGTAGTAGCCTCAATTTATAAAAAATTATTCTTATAAATTTGTTGTGTCAATAATAATAATAAGCATACATTGAGATGTTTGGTAATGATGACATTAGTTGTTTTTTTGTAAATGCAAGTGCTATGTTTTGAGCAGCTTCCTTCAACTTAAAGCAATATTTCAAGGGGATCTTAGCATTGGAACAATTCTATGTGCGACCATCTCTCAAACAAGGTGATGGTGTAGGGTTAGCAATGGGCAACCAGGCTATTGCTACTTCTATGGAGTCAACACAAACTATGAAATTAAACCTTTAGTACATCTAAGCTTGTTGTGATGAATCAATGAAGGATGTTTATCATGGAGTTAAAATCATGGATCCTTATAGTTGGTAATTTTTTTCAATAAACTGTTGCAATATACAAGTTATCTTGTTACAACCTACCTTCAATCATTTATTTCAATTTTCCATCTAACATGGCAAAATGTACATAGCATGTGGACATTGATAAAAGAGAAGTAGGCAAAGTGTGTCGAAAAGTGTCATAAAGAGCCATACCAAAGTCTACATGACATGTGGATTGGGCCCTTCCTAAAAAAAAAAGGGAGATGATGTCTTATCACATTTAAGAATATATTTGCTATTGTTGAAAATACAAGAATATTCTTGATATTTCAGCATATTTGAAAGATATATATGATATTTTTCCAATAATTTTTAGTATTACACAAGTAAATGACATTTTTTGTTTTATTTACAACTACAATACTTACTATTTTCTATACACTAGCAATATTGTAGAATTTACTTTTAAAAACTATAGAATTATTTTTAAAATCCAAACAAAGTCCGTTTAGAAACACATCAAAATATTTAAAATATGCTAAAAAAAGCTGGGAGAGACAAACAAATATACAAACTGATAAAAAATAATAAAAAAAGAAGAAATGAAAAGAAAAACTACTCCAAACATCAACCAACTGACAACAACGTCGACAAAAAAAAGATGACCCGCACAATGAATAACTCTAAATCCATTCCAAGCATTCTTTATTAAGAAACTCTGAAACAACAACACCACCACCACCACTTCTAAAAACGCCCACTAAACCGAACGCAAATCCTTCCCAATCTTCGCAGAAAGTGTATTGAAATTATCACACTTTATAGTTGCCAGAGCTATGGTGATCAGCAGCAGCATGAGCATCATCACCCTCCACTAACTGACAAACCAAAACCACGAACATGGCGATGTAAACAGAAGAAGAAGCAGTCGCCGAGGATTGCAGCTTCAACGCGGATTCATTCAACTTCAGTCACTGTCAGAGCGGGGAATGGTATGGGGCGATTGTGTTATAAAGCTCTCGCGATAGCAAACTCCCTTATAATAACAGCATGCCGCAGTGAAGAGGATAAGGATCGCTAGATATAGCAAAAGAGCATTAGCAGCTGGGGCCGCATTGATGGTAAATGAGCGGGCGCTCATGCAAATTTAGATCCTGAATCTGGAGGCGGAAATCTGAGGGGGGATCGGAGAAAAGTTGGATGGTAGGTTGGTTTTTGCGTTTGTTTTGGTAGCGTTAAGCTGGGGTGGAATCCTAGACCAGGGTTCACCCGGTCGACGGTCGATGATCGACAACAGGGAAACAGGGGGTGATGAGGAAGCAGGCATAGCGGTGTCTAGATCTAGACACTGGTGTGTGTGCAGATCTAGGCAGTGCGCGGCGAGAGAGGCGTAGTAGGACTGAGAGAGCCACGATGCCGACCAGGAATAGGCAATACTGGGGGTTCATAAAGAGTAAGAGAACGGTGGGTGGGCGTGACAAAATCGTTCAAGATTGTGTGGCCTGCGTAATGCGAGCCCCATCAGACCCCGCGACCATAACTACGCCTCGGTTTTATATTTTTTATGTTTTTTAAATGTTGTTGTGTGTTTTTTTTGCTCGTTTCCATGCTGGGTGCGGTGCCCCACACTGATCGAGCTCGAAGGCATCTTTTTTTTCTCATTATTTTGTTGTGTAAAAAGGTTAATTAATTTTTTTTTACCGCCATCCAGAATTAGCAATCTATGCAGCGTCGGTTCAGAGTGAAGTCCAGGCATCGGAGTGCCGAACTAGTCCTCGATCCTGCTACTACAGCGCGACGGCCGCGAGAACAAACACCCAGCCAGGCGACGCTTTTAATGCAGACAGGCGGTGTCAGAGCGTAGCAGCCCCATCTCAATATTGATGAGGAGTGATTCTCTGAACACGTCTCGTTGTGTCAGAGTGTGCTGATGAGTTCAATAATCTCTCTCGTGATCGGAAAGTCAGGGCTGAGGTATATATCTTTCCCCGCTGTGCTCTATAAAGGTTGCGAAACGCAGGCTCCTGGGAAAAGAGTTTCGTCTGCCTTGCAACGTGCACGATCGTCCTGGTACAGTGAATGTGACGCGAATGTCATCCCGACATCGTTCCAGCCTGATCGCTCTTGTGAAGGAACGGCGTTACTGCGGGGTCTGGTTTGTTAGAAGGTCTTGAATGATTCTCGCTTCTCAGACTGAAGTGGAGGCTTTCGTGTTTCGCACACTGTAGGTTGTGTGGATCCGGAGCAGCTGGGAGAACCGACGATGCATAATCGCGTCCGCCACAACATCTGAGAGGATAATTATGTTGTGTAGCAGACAGATATCATGTGGTGTTGTGGCAATTTCGACCAACTACACGACTAGTCGAGGAACTAGATTTTCCGGAAGTCGCAAGATTTTTTTATCGTATGCTTTGAGATTGATCACGAGACCGGTTGCGGGGAGGGTGGTTGCTCGAGGATGCATCAGCGGTCCAGCAGGACATTGGCAACTCTGTTGATGCATCAATTCTCATCAGCGAACAAGACGTTGTTAAACTCTTCGTGCTGTGTCACCGCTGGATGGTCACCATGTTTCTCTTTCCAAACAGCGCTACATCTACGCACGAGCTACTCCAAGTTCACGACAGCAAGAGGCTTCTAACTGGTCTAGAGCCCTTCACCACGTCAACTCGGATAGAATTGGGTAGGAGAGAAGTGCACTCGCCGGAAACAACCAGAGAGAGGAATCCGGTGAAGCTAGGCTCGTGTTCAGTAATCCAGGGCATTATGAGATTTGTCTGTATCCTCGGAATCTGGACAAAGCTGGCGTGGGGCAGTGCGAGCTGGACGCTGGTCGTGTGCCTGCTTCTTGCGAGAGGCCGTAAGGGTCAGCACAGCAACGAATACACTCAGAGTTCAAGTAGCTACAGTGATAGCTCTAACCTTTCCTACAGAGACCGTGTCTTGCTCTCATCCTTGCACCTGGACGGCGCTCTTACATTTTCCAACACATCGTCAGCCGCATCCGACTTCGGGCTCATACACTTTTCATTACCTGGTGCAATTCTGTACCCTAAGTCGGTTCGCGACATACAAGTGGTGATCCGCGCGGTTCATAGCGCCACAAGCTCGGAGCTGACTCTAGCTGCTAGAGGCCGTGGGCACTCTGTGCACGGCCAAGCTCAGGTATGCTGCGTGGCAAATCTGTACTCATGTGTGTTTTCAGCGTTCTGCACGTTTTACCCAGCTTGACAACTGAAGAGCCATTCTTGCACGCCGTGTGTGTGTGAAGTTGGTAGTTGCAATTAGCACCTGTGCCGACACGAGGTTTAGTGAACTGATTATGATTTGTTTGCATCTTCTGACCCTTTTCTCGCATTCTTTGTCCTCGTGCTCTGCTGCATTGCACTTCGGTAGAATACCTCCACGTCTGCGTCACTGAGCTATTGATATGTCTGCAATTCCGCACTTCAGTCGAGTTTCTGAGCGCCTAGATCCTGTACCTATGTGCACGTCGGCTTGCAGTGAATTGATAATCTTGCATCTCAGCCATGCGGCAATTGAGGGGTTCGAGATCCTTGACCGAGCATGGGTCCCGTAGAGTTGACGATTGAACAGAAAGCTGACAATGCTCAGTGTCAGATGTGAGAGAATGGCCGGATCGTTACCGCTTTTCATTAAGCTCCGGGGTCTCTCGTACCTACCTTCTCCTTCTGCTAGTTGGATTCATTGTCATGCTTGCAGAATTATAATTTACCTTGCTGGATTTGGTTACCATGGATTTCAATCAGTCGGATTGTCAATTGTTGTAGTTTATCATTTTTTTTTCCTTTCTTGCAGGCGTTGAATGGAGTGGTAGTAGAAATGTCCTCAATGAAGGGCATCAAGGTTGCTCCACATGGAGAGCCAGGGTTTCAGCAACCCTTCGTGGATGCCGCAGGCGGGGAGTTGTGGATTGACGTCTTGAGGGAGACCTTGAAGGAAGGATTGGCACCCCGTTCGTGGACAGATTACCTTTACCTCAGCATCGGTGGCACTCTCTCGAACGCCGGCGTTGGTGGCCAGACATTTCTCTTTGGACCCGAAATTAGCAATGTCTTGCAGCTCGACGTCGTCACAGGTGAGGAACATCGCTGACATCAAATCGTCTTGTTTCTGTGAAGAGGTAATTTTCCCGTGCCTTCATTGCAACTAACGGAACGATCAATTGCTTTGCGGATGACAGGGACCGGTCACGCGGTCACATGTTCTCCTACAAAGCACTCCGATTTGTTTCACGGCGTTCTTGGCGGGCTAGGTCAATTTGGAGTCATAACGAGCGCTCGCATTGTACTCGAGCCTGCTCATGAGAAGGTAAATTGCGTTGCTCATGAGTTGAGTTGTTGTATACTTTTTTGAAGAGTGTTTTGTGAGGTGTTAGTCAGTGGGTCGCGAGGTCTAAGTAGTTGTCTCATGCAGGTCAGGTGGATTCGAGCGATGTATACAGACTTCGCCACTTTCACAAGAGATCAAGAGATGCTCATCTCGCAACCTCCACAGCACACATTCGACTACATTGAAGGTTTCGTGGTACTGAAGAACGAAGATCCCAACAATGGATGGAATTCGGTGCCCTTCGATGCGAAGAAGATCGACCCTAGCATGATTCCTGAAGAAGGAGGCTCCGTCTTGTACTATATCGAACTTGCCAAGAAGTTCAGCGGGGACAATATTCTCGGTCTGGATCAGGTGTGTCTTCCTCATCTGCTTGGCCAAAGCCCTAGTTGCAGCCATAGCCTTAACGAAGATCAGATGCTGTGAATTGAAAGGAGTTTGATTTCAGTTGTCGTGCTAGAAACTGAGCCTCTTTATGTTGCAGATTGTGGAGCGAATGATGGCTCCGTTGAGTTTCATACCAACCCTGGTGTTCACCACGGACGTCCCTTATGCCAAGTTTCTCAACCGACTTCACGATGTCGAGCTCAACTTGGCATCACAAGGGCTGTGGGATGTGCCCCATCCATGGCTGAACCTCTTTGTGCCTCGCTCTTCCATCGCTTCATTCGATGACTTAATTTTTAAGCATATGATCAAAAGTGACTTCAGCGGACCCATCCTAATCTATCCAATTAAAGGAGAAAGGTACACTCGCCCTCTCGGAAATTTGAAGCGCTGGAACTTATTGTTGGATCTGATTACGAATCGTGTCTAACCATGGCTGGTTGATGAACCTCCACAGGTGGGACTCACGCTCCTCCGCAGTGATACCCGATGAGAGCATTTTCTACCTCGTCGCGTTTCTTCGCATCTCCTTGCCATCCTCAGGTCCTCTTCTGAGCACCTTAATGGCCGAGAACGACAAGATTATGGAGATCTGTCATGACGCGGGCATGGGATGTAAAATGTACCTTCCCGAGCACAACGACATTCAGAGCTGGAAAACCCACTTCGGCAAACGGTGGGAGACTTTTGCTCGGAGGAAGATGAAGTATGATCCTCACTTCATTCTCGCTCCTGGTCAGAACATCTTCCGTAACTCAATGCGAGCTCTCCCCCACCCCGACCATCCCCTGATGTCTGCTACCCCCATCGCTTGAACGCATGCAAGCTATGATATTAAGTAACGACAAGACCATCCAGAAGGTGAAGATTCGCTCGGCAATGTTCTGTGACATTGTCGGCATCGACACCCTGCAATCGACCCTGAGACGACGTGTGAGCAATGGCCGCTTTCATGGGATGATTGATTTCGGAGAGCTCCTAAGAGAAGACCAAATGGGGACGATCCAGAGCGCAGTTAGTATTCAACTAGGTCGCCGTAGGTGAACATGTTACCGAATTGGGTTCAATTTGCGTGTTTTTACGGTTCAGAAACTTGTAAAGTAAATACCACAGCGATCAAGTCGATTAGATTAGCAATCCTGACGGGTACAAACAAGCGGTCCGTGAGCCTCTGTCGGTTATGTGATTTGATTTGACAAGCTTTAGGGTTTCGCAGTGCACAGCGTACCATGCTCTTCAGCTTGGGCGTGACACTCCAGAATTTTGCCGATGACATTAGGGAGTGAGTTTATAGGGCTGAGGGAGCTGTTCACAGCTTGCGTCACCTGCCAGTGTAGAGGACACTGAAACACTATTTTTCTCGGAGACATAATCATGTCGAGTTGTTGAAACGTTGCCTTCGACAGCCTGCGGTATTAAGTTGGCAAGTTCTATTTTGGAAAGCCAAGGTTCCTGAAACCTCTAATAGTATCTTGCATGCACTGTCTGAAAATGGGTGTGGCATTACCACGTAGGAATCGGGTCATTTATTCAACTGTGCCGATGGTTGCTATTTAGGCCTCAGATCTTATATTGTACATTGACACCTCATGCCTAAGACGTGAGAAGCATGGTAATCAGAGAGTCCTTAGCATCAGGTCGAGTGGTACTTAAAAGTCCGAAGTTAATGGTTTTTGATCTCGAAATTACAAATCGTAATCTAGAACTGGAACTGGTAAAAAAAATCTATACCGAAAAGGTTGTGATATGGATTAGTCCATCAGTATCTGAGATGCCCTTATGAATTGAGAGAGTTTCATACTTTTCCAACTACACTCATCCCGCACTAATGAGCTGAATCTATGAGTCTGGACAACGGATTTGCAAGATTACGGTCCTGAATGAGGAACAGTGTGATTATTCCCCTTCACCTCTGCTTTACACCTAGTGTTAGAGTTTTGTCATTATCAGCTCCTGCATAAGTTCTCCCTAGCAAATCATAGAGATGCATCTAATTCCTGTAGGAACCGGAGGATAGGTGCGTACACGTCATTCTCTCGATTAACACTGAAGGTCAAGTCGTAATGAGCGTAATTCGTCAAATTGAGCAGCCTGGCTGGCATCTCCAACATACGCATGAAAGTTATTGTTCCGGATGGGGGAGATGTCCAATCACGACCACCTGCTATGATAAACACAGGCATCCTTCTTGGGATTTGTTCTGGGTTGTAATCTGGGGATGTAGGTTGACCATATGTAGCATTGTTCAATGCGGGACTGCCGAAGTCGAATCGAGCAAATCTGTTTGTTCTTATCCCTGCATGCAAAAGTGTGAAACGAGATCAGAATCACGTCATCTCTGTATCATACTGAAGTCTCATTCATGCATCTCAACATTCACGTCACAAATTCTAGTACTCATGATTGAATTTCTGACGCAAGCAACCTTGAACACGATTTGAATTCTATCTGGTCGAGAAATTCGAACCTTGTTGCCAATGCAGAAGATTCTTGAAAGAGGTCGTGCCATCCCATCCACCTTTAACCTGAACGACTGTTGAACCGAGGCAGCAATTCGGACCTGCACAAAAGAAAGTATAGTCTAATTCTGAGATATACGAATATCAGAGGCTACTGATTGTAACATGATGAAGAAGTTAACAAAAATTTTAAGGTAAGCTTATGTCCGACGTGCTTTAGACATTAATCGAGGAAGGAATAAGGGATAAAGAGGATATACAACAGAACCTCAATGGCGGTTCCCACCTGAAATCAGGCCAATTGCAAGACCAGTTAATCCTGCTCCACTGATGTTGCCAGCCCCCGGGAATTCCCTGTTGCAAAATCCAAGTTCCTCAGAGTCAGAGGGTGAACTACACTTCGGAAAATCAACAGTAAAATCGATGAGACTGTCAGAATAATGAAATGAGATTGTGTAGACGACATAGTGTTTTCGTTTGAGCAATATGTGTAGTGTTTGCCATGTGCATAGCCCAAGAAACAGATGTGTGTTAAAAATCATGCATGCGAACAGGTTGTAATTTCTATGATGAAGTAAACTGACGATGTATAATTGAACGCTCCATTTTGAAACCCCGTTGCGTAGTAGTTCTGCTCAAACAAAAAAAAATCAAGAACTGGATATTAACTGACTAGTAATCAAACTCTCTGCATTCATACAGAGACCGAGTTTGGCACAATACGTTCTGGGCATACAATTCAATGCTTATTGAAATCCTTCACAACATCCTTATATTTACTTGTATCAGCATCGTGCTATGAATACAAGTAATAAGGTTAATACCGAATCAATCATGGCTCCAAAGTAATATGCCCATGCATCCAACACCATAGAGTTCGTATTGCCACGGTATGCTGTAGGGCCAATGAGTGTCAGACTTCGAACCATCTGCGCCGTTTCATGGTTGGTAGAGGCCGCTGCTCCCACTGTTGCTGCCTGTATCATCCAGCACAATGGATTGATGACGCAGACAAAAGATCACAAAGCTTTGACAGTCACAGATCAGCAAATCTCCAACTCAAATACTTTGCACGCACAGAGCAGGAATGCCGGCTCGTCTCATTCACGATCCATTTCCAGTACCTGAGATGCTCCAATGATATGAACAGGTTGATTAGTTTCGGCCGAAATCAGTCGCAGTTGGGCAGGAAGGTCATAGTCAACGTGTTGATCCCATGTCCAATCCCAGTACTCCTGCAGCAATTAGAAAATGTTTAGCATCATGTTGCTTGCAATATCATCCTTCACTAAATTGTCTGTGTATGACGTCCATCTTTAGAAAATTAGATGATTGTGCGGAATACGTGTACCAAGGCCATTGCGAATAGCAGCACGGTTTGTCTCACAATGTAGATTCACTTAGCATTTCGAGTAGACTGATGTTCGCATATGCAATGTCCATTAAGCCAGTATGATTGAATTGATTCTTACCCTATCTGTGAACTTCAGATCGACATGGCCATGTCCCCAAAATGTTGCGCGTTGATGGCCAATCCATACGTCAAAACCATCATCGAGCAGCATGAATGGCAACAAGTGGCTAGAGTGTGCTCTATCAACATACTGGAACCATGAATCACCATTGAGAAACTCTTGATGCAGTAGCAGCACTGGGACGCGCTTCCCAGCCTGCACGCAATTCCAAGCTTAAAATTTGTAAAAGAGCTGCCAGTGAGTTGGACTTCATTCCACTACTTAGATCTTCCTTACTCCGGAAGTGCATGCCTCCTTAATTCTTCATATTAATTCTAGAAAATGGAAATTACTTCCTACAGGTTCTGCAAACAAAATTTTGTCAGCAACGTTTCCAGAATTTCACCTACAGAGTAAAGAGATATTTAAGCAAAGCCGCAAGGATTCACATGAGGATGGAAGTACGATTATTTGATGGTTACCTCTGGATTGGCCGTGTGATTAGAACCAGAACCAGGGGTGATTGTACCAGAAGGTGATGAGTACGTTGTTGCATTCTGGATTGAATTTGAAAGCGGAGGGGGAGCTGGAAATTCGTTTTCTGAAGTCGAATTTATGCTTCCGACTGAAGAGATTAACGGACTTGATGCCGCGGAATTGTTTCTGGAATGAGTCGGTTGTGTTGCTCTCTCGTCTGAACCATTTGCTAAGTGCGAAGATGGTGGCCGAGTGCCTGAATCTATTCTGTGACGACTTGGAGTTACAACAGGCCCGTCGGACGGTGGTGCCAATAACTCGGAAAATTCTAGCCCCGAATTATTCCGATCCAAGGTAGGGTTTCCTTGGGAACTCGGGGCCACTGTGGCATTCGACGTATCGGTGTCAGGGATTTGATGTGGATTTGTCTTCTTCGTGACATCGCGATTCTTATTTGATCGGGTGTCATTGTCGACGCCAGTCGTTGAAGGTGGCCCTTGCATCCCACTTAGACGGTGAAGCGCTAGCACAAAACCGTCGTCAGTTTGGACCTGTTTGATGTCGCACCAGTGTGTTACGTTCAATGCAATGTAGTCTAAAAGATTTGGATATATTACAAGGCTTAGGAAGAGACTCGATGGTATGATAAGCAAATTCAGATGATTCGCTACAATTACATAATGATTCGTACAGTTGGACATTTGTGATAGACTTTTCAGATATTTATTTAGTTAAAAAATTACACACTTCAAAAAAAAAAAAAAAAAATCACATAACAGAAGTCGAATTTGAAATGCATTGATCATATTAGCTACATGTGTAGTTACGGGGTTTAGTTTTGATTATCACGCTCAAATCCATCTCTGAGAGACTGGCTGCTTGGATAGAAAATGAAACCTTCCAGGTTAAACACCAAACAGGTCCAAACGTGCCACGAATGAGCGCTACAATGGAACATAAATAGCTCTCAAAACACAGATCCATACAATGTGCAGCCTCGTCACACAAGATGAAAAGGCAGAATCCAGAAAACTCGTCAAGACGGCCATTGAACGACAACAATACCATTAAGTGACTTCAGAAAGATTCTAAACGAGAATATCCAGGAGGAACTTGATGATTTCTTAGTCCGAAACCGCTTACGGTAAATTCTTCACAACCGTAGCCTAGAGGCTCGACCACTTGCCCACAAAATGCGGCGCTCTCCACTCTAACTGGTGTAGCAAGCAGCACAATGGCGCAAAACAGCAACAACGACAGTCCTGTCATCACTTGCGGCATACTACAACTCATGAACACCTACACAACTGATTCCTCGCCTCTATGCAGTTGAATACGGTGTCTCTGCTTAGAAACTGACGACAATTTTTAGCAAAAAGAACACTAAATTTGAAATCAGAACATCCTCAAATAGCCTTCCTTGCGCGAATGCTGAACTCGTCCTCATGCACTCAATCAATTGAATTTCGAAATTGGTCTCGGCGCGCGTGGAATTGTGGACACGGACTTCCATGGCGGGTATACGGTACCAGTATCCGGGTATTTCACATCTTAGCGTTTGCATATTACCTGAGTGGAACGCATTCGCACATGCACAATAAAGATCTAATTCGTTTCCACATTATATAATATGAAAGGGATGTAGTGAACTTTAAAATGAACTTTCAACTCTAAAATTGTCTGCTATTGATTTCGTCACTGATTTCTGTAAACCTTTTCTACTTTGTAAACATTTATTCCACCATCTTTGCATGTTTCATTTCAAAAGTTCCACAAAATATTCAAGCTTCTTAACAGTCAGACAAAGTCCTTTGACAATGTCTAAAATTTTATTGAAGTAAGAAATGTAGAAGCAAGGATTATTTCATTGAAATAAGATATATTCCAATTTTGTATGCAAAAATGTGATAATCATTTCCTTTAATCAAATTGTGAATAGTAAGGAATAACATGTTACGAATTATTATCCATGTTAAAACTTAACTTTGAAACGCCTTCAGTTAAACGATAAATTATCCCTTCATGACTGATGAATGATACCATCGATGGATGAAACTCAACGATGGATGACTTTACTCCCTCGAGTCAGTCACCATGCAGCAGAGCCGACTGTGGACGACAGTGTTGGCTATGCCTGGCATGCTGCATGTTTCCTGAAGCCTTGGCGGGCGTTCTTCTCCTCTAGTGAGAATGCTGAGTCAGTTTCGACACGGCTGCCCATTGTTTTTCAGTAAATATGAAAACGAATGGCGATTTTCTTCAGCTTCTGAACCTCAGTCTGTAGGCGATGCTACGAAATAGTAATTGCCAGAAGCTTAGCGGAAGGGGTTTTGTTGGCGAGAAATGCATAACATTTCCTCACGTTGGCGGTTCCCATAGTGTATCACTGTGTCATCAATATCGGGATATTGCCTTAAACTCCAGGCCCTCATATAGACCAGTGCACACTCCGATGCAAATTGCAGCTATAATCAAGTCAGGAACTCGATCGGGCAGCTCTTCTGCGGCGACCAAAAAGAAGTTCTTCCCACACTAGCCTAACTACGGCAGAAGTTGACTCTCTAATCGGGACCCGACCCAACGAAGAATGCCAAACCACAGTGCATTTCCCGTTCTTCAAAGATTTCCCTCTCCGTGCCACCGAGAATAAATTGCGCAGTTCATATGTACACTCTGGATTATAGGTTAATCTCTCAAGTACGCCTTAATTTTTCCAATTCTAATTTGTATCACTAGCACTGAGAAGTAGAAGGTTCAAAATGCGCTACGCAGCTATTAAAATTTTATAGTTCCGAACGTCTGAAGTTTTGAATAATAAGTTCAGCCACCAAGAGCAACTTCTCATCGGAAGCCGTGGGAGAGGACGAGAACATGCAATTCAAGCAAATATAACTATTTCTTTAATCTGATATAAGTGATCACACCATTTTCGAAAGCGGAAAACTGTGCCTGAATAAGACTGAGCACAGACCTACAACCCACATGGTTAACAAGTTTCGGGCGTTGTTCTACAGTTTTTAGAACATGCACTACTAAAACTAAGAGCCTCACTTGAAGTAGCGATACGTTCATGAAGAAGGACGAAGTTAGATTACTGCAAATTCTCACATGCTAGGCGTGTCTGCCAGCTAGAAGTCGCCGTGCAAAGTTGTAGGATATGATACATTGAGCGGCACCTTAATATGTTACAAAGATAACCAGTGCTCTGAGATGAGTCCCAGCTTTTCACTTGTTCACCTACACATTACCTTTCACAAAATTTGCCGACTGCATTTTTGTGTCGACAACTCTAGACTTTGGCGAGTCCCCATCAGCGTCCCTAATTGATTGCTGATACTTTTCTTGAACTTCTCTATAAAGGTTTCTAGTCCTGTACCACAGCGCTCCGGCGGAAACCGCCGCACCGACAGTGACCCCTATCAGAACTAGCAGAGACCGACCGAAACAAGAACTGCCGAGGCAAACCAAATTAGAATTATTGCTTGTAACATTTGTACTTTCCGACAATTCTTTCTTTGCCTCGTCGTCGTAGTATCGGCCGACCACGGGGACGGAGAGCAAGTACATCCCTACAGGGCTTGCGAGCCCGATGCTATTATACAGAGTGGCATAGTACTTCAACCCAAAGATATCTGCAACGATGGTTGCATACAGGGGGTACTGCGCACCGAATGAGAGGCCGAGAAATATTGATCCAAAGTACAGGCAACCCGGCACGTTGATTGCGATCAGCAGAAAGGCTAACGACATGAGCGTCATCATGATCATGAGGAACATGGCCCGGGAAAAGCCATAGCGACGCAGCAGGATGTCAGAGAGGAAACCGCCAACCCAGCGGCCGATTGCGTTCCAGATGCTCACGAGCGACACGAATGTTCCAACTTTCGAAGACGAGTAGCCAAGAGACAGCCCTAATTGGCCCATGTTGTCGGTTACTGTGAGCCCCGATCCAACCCCGAATGTTGTCGCTATGAACAGAAGCCAGAAATCGAGGCATCTGTAGGTTTGCCAGATGGTGTGGTCTTCTCCTTTCCTCGGCCACCCCTTGATATGCCCATCCTCCGCGGGCTTCGAATCAAGTTCTGCGTCCACGTTGCGCCGTGGATTGGTCTCTGCAACTTCATCTGGTCTCAGATGTTCCTTGTCGTATGATCCTTGCGCTCCGTTAGCAGATATCGGAATCTCAGTTTCGCTATCTGATTTTGAGTCCTTAGACGCCTCGACCATATCCTCTTTCATATCAAAGACCCTTTGCTCTGTGCCGAAGCTTTGGCGATCAACTGGGTGTTCCAGTACATCGAATAATTCGCATGATGTCGACGGATCTTCGCAACTCTTCTTACCATAAACTTCAGACTGAAAGGTGATGAAGAGGAGTGGAATGAAAATTAGAATCAGCAAGATAATGCCGATTGCCTGCTCGCCAGTTGTGCTCAAATTCATCAGGTTTTGCGCCACGCTCACTCCCATCAAGTAAAAGGCAAGCACGAACCCGAGGCCCAGGAGCCAGTAAATATGCTTGCCCTGTGGCAGCCCTCGAAATGGTGGCAATGGCCGAATGACGAGAATGGAAAGCAGCGCAACGGCCGACGGCAACCAAACTAGCATCAGGATAAAGTTGTCTGGATTCTCGGAACCGCAAATGGTGATGTAGATCTGAATAAGAATGGCGCCGCTTATGCCGATGTAGCCCTTCAGGAGGGCGATCATAGCGCCCTTGCTGGCGGGGAAAAGCTTCACACACTGAACCAGGACGGCAGTGTTGAGCATGGACTGCGAATTTGCGCCGACGAGGAGGAACAAGCACATTTGCCAGAGAGAGGGAGGGATTTTCTTCGTCACTGCGAGCCATGCCAAAGAGTATCCCGCAGCTGTTTCGAGTGCTCCCAGGAAGAGCACCCCTCCCGGCGACCAGTAATCATACAGCAACCCCGAGAACAATCCGAAGTTCACACCCAAATCCTTAAAATTAGCAATGAGGTTGAGATTCTCTTGGTTGATTCCCAGTGCAGATTTGAGCCTCTGCGAGTATACACTGAAGCTGTAGGCTCCAGCACTCGCAATCAAGACCACAATTCCCACTGCTACAACGAACCATCTCCCCTTGGCCACTGTCTTGAAAACCTGGAGCCTCGAAGCTATTGGAATCGGGGCCATTCCTCTGTTTAACTGCAGTGCAGTGGCTGCTCCGCTCAGCAGCTATTTGATTCCCTGTAGAAATCGTACCCGCACAAACTTGAATTATACCTTGGAGAGACGTTATCGACACAGCATCAAAAGGCAATGACTTTGCGTCGCAAGCAACCACGATGAGTGATGGCAATTGCTGGACGTAATTCCACCTCGATTTAGTTAGATTGTATATCAGATCCATCCACAGAGGGCAAGAAGTGCCACAAAACACGTGTAATTGGCCTACCAGGAAAGGGTAAACAGTGATCACGAGACAAACAAAATCTCAAACGGCAGGAGACTGGCAGCCTGGCACTGCACCAAACCCATCAGGCTCTTACAGTCGCTTGAGTTCATGGTACGCACTTATTGATTCATATTTAACCACTGCAGCAAGATCGCCACTGGACCTGTGCCGTAGCACGAACTCAACGGACTCAATCAGCTAGAACCACAAGTGAACTCAAAATCCACAGAGAAGAATTCAATAACTTCAAAAGATGCGAAGACACCGATTAAATGTGGAGCTTAAGTTGTGAGCTGCATAGCAATATACTCGCATCTACCAGGTCGTTCACAAGAATTCTAGCTCCAATAACTGAGAGCGACGTACCGAATTATTGTGCCGAGAATATTAAAAAATAGTCTACTTTCCAAATACGTGACGAATCTGAACTCTTGCGGAAACTGACATCCTGAGATTGATTTTCATGATCTGAATGCCCATGCAGGCACGTTTATGTGCAGAAATGCAGTGATTACCCCCGTGGATGTCGACTCGCTGTGCAATAAGAAGCAGTGGATTTCGGATTCCGACTGATAGTTACCAGAGAGAAACAGAGAAAGTTTCCAGATAAGGGAATGAAGTCGCAACACGTGGACCTTGCAAAATCATAGTGAAAGGGTGGAACACACCCGCAAAAGAACCCTGACACAGATGATCGCTTTACTTTGCAAGACAAACTTTTGTAAAAAACTTTGTCATAAACCATGACCATCAGTTGGAAAAGTTTCCTTATTCCTTCCCCCACCAAACAAACCAAAACCAACACACCAACTACTAGCTTTTTCTCAAGTACCTTCACAATGTGGTTACCTATCGAGTTACGCCCTCGGAGGGTCAACATCTGCAAGTGAAAGTGATCAGTATCCAATAACTTCAAACAAAATGCTCTGCAAATTTTAAAGCCCGAACTCAAGCTCACCGAAACAGCGGCTTGAAATTCACAGCTGTGCACTCTTGTAGCTTGCACCTAGTTCGAAGCTGTGTTAGCAAGTTTCTTAGAATGGGTCCGCCAGAAACTGAGATAGTCATGGGTACGAAGCTTGAATGTGCTCTCAACAACTTAACAGTTCTCACTGCCGACGCGTGCAGATCAGCACGGAAGCGAATCGCTGCTCCAGCCCATTGCTCTCATCACTTTCTCCTTCGCACCTAGAAAAGTGTTGTACGCCCAACCGATCGAAAGGACGCACTTGTCTGCAGCGATATGCTTCGTTTCAGCCTCTCACATCCGCTATTCCTTGCTCAACCCGTGGCGAATATTTTGTTAACTAAAGTAAAACACAAGAAAAATGAGGAGCATACTTGTATTTTCAAAAGAGAGATCGATTGATCTAGCACGCTCCTCCCTAACTACGTGTCTGAAATATAAACTAAGATTGAACCTATGAAAACGAAAAATAAATATTTTATTTGTATTTTGTGATGAAATATTTCTTTGATTTTAAGTATTGAGATAATTTTGGTATTTGATCTTGAAGAATGATTTGGTTAAGAAGTTAGTCCACACTGTAGTATATTTGAAATAAAAATTTTATTTGGTTCATTTTTTTTATAAGAGTGTTTCCAAAAGTTAGTTTTCTTTTAATCAATAATATAAAAATTGGGTTTTTTTTTTTGTTAAGGATATAAAAGATTAGTTGTTGCAATAAAATTTACTTATAAAGCAATGTAAAAATTTAGGTTCTTAAATAATAACTTATAAATGTAATAAAAATACTTATTTAATAGCACTACTAAAAGAAATGTATTTATATCCAATGAAAGAAAGAACGATTATAGTTTGTTGGCAACTTTGCTATGGAAATAATTGGATGTTTATTACATATTAAAGAATCAAATCAAAGAAAATAATTGGATGTTGAACAATAAGTATTAACTTTGCCAATTGAATTGGCATTGCACCAATTTGCTATAACATAAAATTATAATACTTAAAAACTCTTGCCATAATATTTATAATATCATATAGAAGTATTGGATAGATAATAAAGTATTTTTGTTATTCTAAATTGATGTGTTATAGTAGAATTGGCTGTAAGTTAGGCCAAATCAATTATAAAAAATATAATATCCATCATGTACATGTAATCTAATATTAAAGATATTAATGACATAAATGTATAAAATTTAATCTATACAAAAAGCTTATTTATAATAATTTTAAAATATTTTTACATGAATATCTAATTTTTTTTTAAAAGAGATACTAATTGGATTATATTGAAGCATGTTAAATCTTTGTGAAATATTAAATTTAAAAAAAAATATATATAAATACTTTAGTCTTATAATAATATCTAATATATTAAATTCCTTGATTCTTTATTATAAAAAGTTAATTGGAGAATTTTTTTTGATAGCAATTGAATAATAAAGGTCATTGAAAAAAATTAATAAATTAGCTATACATAATCCAAGCAAAAGGATATGTGAATAAAAGTATTTGATGTAGACATTGATATTGGAAGTATATCTAAAAAATCTATAACTCAAAGAGAAACTATCAAAAAAATTACATCAAATGCAAGTGGCTAATATGATATTGTAAAGAGTTTTTAATTAGCAACAAAATTTTATTTTATTATTAACGTAAACATATTCTTCAAGTAAAAATAAATATGATATATTTTTAAATGTAGTATTAAAATAGAATCAAGATCCATTAAAGTAATATTTTTGTCAAAAAAACCATTTGATATTCATTATGCAATGATTAAGAAGAGAATCAATGTATTTTTATGTTTTCTTGGTAATAAAAGATTATATATATATATTTTTTTTTATCTATAGCCATTTTCTAATAAGAAGAATAAACACTAGATAAAACATTGGAACAAATATAGATTTGATTATTTAAATATCATAGATATAAAACATAAATATTTCTATTATAAAATTTTATATTTTTTATGTTCTATAATGAAAGTGCTAAGAAGAAAGATAAATACAAATTTATGCCAAGTTATAGGTTGCTTCCAACTTGACTTTTTAAGAGTAGGCAATATTTACAATAAGTTTCAATAGCCATGTCGCAAGTCTATAGGAATCTATGATCTAATTTGTAACTAAAAAATAATCCTCAAATTTTTTGAAAGAAGATAATATTTATCTAATATATTTTATAAATTTCTATTTATTTCTATTTATTTAAATTATATAGGCAATAATTACAATAAGAAAGAGATGTTATGTTTTATTATTAATAAGTAAAGAATTATAGATACAAAATAATGTTTGATATTTTAAAAACTACAAATAAAATAAGAAGGTTTGATAAGAAAAAGAAATTATATTATAAGAATAAAATAAAAAGTATAAAATATAATTAAACAAGGACATAAAATAAGGTTATAAATTAAATTAGACAAAGTGAGCTAACATGCTCAAGTATTAAATAGATATTATTTGACATTATAACTTCATGGATATCTATCAAGGACATGAATCTTCAAAAAAAAAATCCTTAATTTTTAAGGACATAAATTAAAATAAGATGCATAAATTTGTAAAATCCATATCAAAGGAAAAGTGAAAAAATAAAAATAAAGAAGTATGTATATTAAAAAGAAATTGGAATGGCTATTGCCAAAAGACAAGGAAACTAGAAATTCTTGAATCTAGACTAGAAACAAGAAAGGAATTGAGAAGAGTGAAGAAGGCTTCACTCTTACCTCTATAAATATTATCTACCTAGGATCTATGTGATAATTTTCTATAGGACTTCCAAAAACGTGTTGACTTTGTATGACATGTAACTCGACTTGCAAGGCAAGTTTTTTATATAGAAGCCACATAGTTAGCTTGTTTTGCAAGCTACTAATACATGTGGCATGTGATTAGCTTGTTGACCAAGTTTTTAACCTATCAATCAACTAAAAATACATGTAAAGTCAAAATAACATCTAAAAAGCTTCTAAGAAGCTTTTCTAAAAATAATTATTAAATTAATCTATTTTTATCTACTTCTATCTATTCATATTACTTAAATAACAATCATAGAATATATATATATATATATATATATGCATGATATTATTCCCTCTTCTAGGGATGAATATTTTAGACATATACATTTACTCTAATAGTTACTTATATGATTAGATAGAAGTAGGTAAATATAAATTAATTTCATAAAGTCTTCTAGAGAAGCTTCCTAAAAGCTTCATAGATGCAGTTGACTTTAGATGTATTTATAGGTTAGAAACTTAGCCAATAAGTTAACCACATGTTGGTAGCTTGTAGAACTAGTTGATTCTGTATAGTAGCTTATAAAACAAGTTAACTATGTGGTGCATACATAGATAATTTGCCTTATAAGTTAAAACATGTTGGAGGTCCTATAGAATATCGCCACATAGTTCTTAATTAGAGAGTATTTATGGAGGCAAGAGTAAAGCCTTCTTCATTGTTGTCAATGCCTTTCTAGTCCTTAGTCTTGTTTCAAGACTTTTTAATCTTCTTATTTTTGGTAATAGCCATTTTAGTTCAATACTATATCACCTTTGAGTGACTTTCTAGTTCCTTTCAACGATACAAGAGTGTATTGAAGATTTTCTTTCTTTGAGATTCATATCCTTGATAATTTAACAAGAGTACTATCATACTATTTTTATCTTATTTTAGAATTCAATAAATTATCCCACTTCTATTGTTATATTTTGAAGATTGTAGACTATCTACCTTTAAATAAAAAATCTTATTTTTTAACACTAATCTCTTGCTAAAAGAGAGTGAATTACCTCTCTTTGTAAAATTTTTTATTAGAGGTTGCAGATTACCCTCCTCTAATTTAACTTTTAAATTTTTTTTGAGTTATCTATAGAAAGAAAGATTATGGATGCTATTCTTAGCAGAAGTGAAAATAGATTTGTAACTATTGTAGATCTTCGTGAGCTTGTCAACACTCTAAGAGTGAAAATCTCATGTATTTCTAACGTGAATCATAGATATACTATGCCTATGCCTATGGAAGAAGTTCAGAGTCTACAACAAGAAGTTGTACAATTAAAGGAAGTAAGTAGATTAACCTCACAACCAAATTCAGAGAGTTTTGCTTCTACAAATATAATAGGAATAAGAATTAGTATGCTTAAGAAGTTTGATGGAACTAGATCAAAATTTCAAGGATTTTTGTATCAAGTGAAGCTCTATCTAAAGTTACAACTTTTTCAATACCCTAATGGATTTACTCAAGTTGGATTCATAGAGATACTTCTATTAAGAAGTGCTTTTTCTTGGTTAACACCTTTAATACAAAAAGATTTGTAACTCCTTAATGATTTAAATTTTTTCCTAAAAGTATTTACGGCCACATTTGGAGAAAGTGATTGAAAAAGAGTAGCAAAGATGAAGCTCTTATCTTTATGGCAAAGATCATGGTGTCATATTGCATGGTTTTCTATTTGGGAATACACTAGATACGTAGATGTACAAAGTTTAGTTTTAACTTATTGGCCAAGTTCCAATAAGTTATTTAACATATAAAGTATAAGACAAATAAATACTACAATATCAAAAAGATATTATACTAATAAAATCTTTTATATTTAAAAAGGTTTGTACATAAGGCTTTCTAAAATATC